AGTTAAATTCACTTTATTTACCTGATCATAAGTTACAATTCACTTTGTAAGCGATTGGTAGGTAAGGGCCAATAATAGAAACTGTTCTGTGGTAACCTAATGGTACCCACCAAAATTCTCCGTCGTTACATAGTAACATACAATTGTAATAATTACATGCAGGTATACTGTACTATACCTATATAGTTTACCTATACAATACTATACTATACTATATTATACCTACTATACTATACCTGCATATATACCTTAATTTTGTGTGACTTGCTATCTTATTACCATGTTATTACATGGTTATTGATGTACTGTAAAAGAAAGCATTTCCTATAATGTAATATAATATAATTTTATTTGATATATTCTTTATTAATTTTTTTTTTTTCCACAGAAGTGTTAAAGTTATATATTGGAGCTGAAGCTAACTGTCTGGAGCTGTTTGCCCGGAGTCTTCAGCCAGGATGGACCAGTTGTGGAAACGAGGTGCTGAAATTTCAGCACATAAGCTACTTCAATTTGGAAGCTGCAGATACCTCTAAAGAAGAGGTGACAGACAACCCTGCAGGCACAAATGGCTCAAGTTAGCCTGAGAAAAGCAAATGTCCTGCTGCATCCAGCCTTTCTTACTGTAAAGTCAATAACTGATATTAAACACCTACCAGTTGTTGTTTGTTTTACTATGTTTTTAATAAAGATTTTGCAAGTAAATGCTTCTCCAAAATTGCTTTTTCATCTAGAATATGTATGCATGTAGAAGTTTTAATGTTTTGCGGATTGCACTTGATACATCTTAAGGTAGTGATAATGTTATTTGGGAGATGAAAAAACATTTCTGTACAGCTTTTTTGAACCTAACTACTTCCCACACACATCTCAGACTCCCAACTTTCTAGGTTTTTTGGCCTTTTGAGTACTCATTGGCAGTGTGTGTGTGTCTTAAGAAATATCAACACATTCTATTTGTACTCTTTCTATGCAGTTTTAAGGCTGAATTTCTAAATGTGGGTCTGTAACTCTTTGTTACACCTACAGTATATTAATCTCAGTGCTCCCCACCGCCATTTAGAACTCAAGCCTCTTGGATGAGAGATGAAACTTCAGGTCCAGTTGCCTAAACGGAACTTTTCAAGCCCTACATCCTTTTATCATCCATCTAACTTATTCTGGTGAAGATTTTCAGTCATCCAGGTCATAGTCCAAAAAAGTAAAAAAAACGATCCACTGGACTTTCCCATTCAGGAAGCTTTTTTAATTGAAAATGCCAGAAATAGTGTTGAGTTCAATGCTTTATACAGTAGCCCAAAAAAACTTTGTTTTTGCTTTGAAAACATGCAGCTTGTGCTGACATTTTGAATTGAGCTTCCTGGGTGGGAAACAAAACGTCTTTCAACTTGGAAGCAAAGTCCAGTGGTTTGTTTTTTCCTTTTTTTTTTTTTTTTTTTGGGGGAAAAGCCTCTAACTTATCTTTCCTCATTGTGTGGAGTCACACTAAAAACATGGTAGTATAAGAGCATGGAAGCAAAGCTGAATTATGGCCCCTGCAGCACATCACAGCTAATGAAGCTAAAATGTGACTCCAGCCGCATCACCAACATATTACTCCAGTTAGGTCCATCTTCAACGTGTAAACAGACACATACTATGCATAAGATGACAAGTCATGCCATACCTGTGACAGTCAGTGTTTTAAACAAATCAGAATCATTAAAATGGGTGACAGGAAAAAAAAAGCAGATCTGTCAACATTTTTCAAAACGATACAATTATTTGTTTTTGACAATTAAATACAAATAATGTTTCTTTTAGTGAATGTATTTCATGTTGATGGCTGTTAAGTATTGCTTGTTCTGACTCATAATAATAAGAAATAATTTGTCACCAAATCATGGGCACTTCCAGTCAGGGTCCAACAGGGGCCAGTGTCCCTGTTGAAACAGTCCTAGCCCCTGTACTGAATACTTGATACTTGAAGTTCTCCTGGTGATTGTCTGTAAAGTGCCTTGAGATGACATGCGCTGTGAATTGGTGCTATATGAATAAACTGAATTGAATTTAAATTGATTATTAGTTATTTCAGCAGTGATTAAAAAATAAAAATGTTGCACTTTTAGCTTTAGTGTTTCTGAAACAGCATCAAGCCTACCTAATAAATGAATAAATGTTAAATGCAGCAAGTGTTTTCAAAGACAGACTGACCCAAACCCTGTTTATATGCCTGAGAAGAGTGTAAATATTTTAAGTTGTTTTGTTTTATTTTCACTGATGTATTGAGATGTTACTTTAATATGGCCATATATTCTGCTTCAAATGTTGAAAACAATGGCACAGCAAGATACTGGCATCCTTTATTTCAAACTTTGGATGATGCCTTCATGCTTCCACGCCTCTTACCTTTTCCTTCAAATCTAACAAAGGCCATTACAGCCAGTTCAATACTACTTTCATTTAATTACATAATTACATGTTCTAGGAATTTAAGATATTTGTCCCTGAAGTAATTGCTTCTTCCTTACTGAGCGGCTTTTATGCTCTTATTGGTCAGGAACTATTTAGACTAAATACATATAAAGCTGTGTCTACATGTAGCTGTGATATAATTTCCCTTTAAAAGACATAATTTCCACCATGTCCCTTTTAATACAGTGTATCCAAATGTGTTTGCTCAGAAAATTTTAAACTGTCATCACTCTTTTAATAATTATTTCCATTCATCAATTTTTTTATCTTTTAAAATGATCTAAAACATCAAAAGAAATGTCTATATTTATATTCACAGAGGATATCAGCTAACTACAACAGCAAGACCAGTAAAGGATCTCCGGTTTTTAAAAGGTTTCCATATCTTAAAAAAGGCTGTAATTAAATAATTGTACGTTTTAGATGGTATTACTAATTAGAAACTTTCTTAAATATATCAATATGTGCAGTTGGGAATATACTATTTCCTTGCTTAGTGTCGCACCACTTTTGATCATTTTCCATGTAAACATATGAAGATTCATTTCACTTCTCTGACATCAGCTGAAAATTCTTCATAAAATGCCTTTCGGGATGTTGTGGAGACGTGTTTCAAAGGGTCATTCAGGTCTACAAGGATTTTTTTCTGATTGTCTGTTTCCCTTCAAAGCAGAAAGCAATCAACTAGAGGATTCTTGAATATTTTTATCAATACTCTCATTCTGTTCACCATTTATTATTAAATTCATTGAAACAAATTCACCTCCATGATTCATGTTGTTATTACCTGCTTTTCAATAACGTTTGTTTTTTGTGTTGACCTGCTTTATCATCTGTCAGACTCTCAAACTGTCAGAACTTCATCTACAAAGGTTTTCGTTCTTTGGCTATTTTTGTCATCTGTTTATAAAAATAATCTACTATTCTGTATGATGCCAGAACTTCAAAACGATTCTTATTTTATTTTCTTCTTCCATTTTTGTGGTTATTTCTTTTTGACTCTTGTAAAACGACCAGCGTCTGAGATGACGTCATCTTCTAGAAGCTCACAATTGCACCAGTGAATGAGGTCATCATCTCTCTCGCAGGCGCCACAGAAGGCAGAGAGTCCTGTCAAACTAAAGATAAAGCACCAGCAAAGAAACAAAGACCTTTACCACTCAGTTTCCTTGATCCTCTGTTTGAATCAGAAAAAAATCCAATTTTGGTGTGTTTTAACAGATCCACAATCCTCCCTTTCTCACCTTTTTTAAATCTATTTTTATTTTTTAACAGCTGAGTATAGTATTACTGTGAAATAAATTCACAGAAATTAAATTGCCCACATGCTGCTGTTGACTTTGACAGCTTTTTTTGTGCTAAAAACCATCCAATGACACACAATTTCCTCTTTAAAAAAAACAAAGCAGAAACCACTGATACAAGAACTGTCAAATGTTCTAAGTGAAAGCCCAACTATTCTATCTTGCTGTCAAACACTGAATGAAAGTTTTTTGGCTTTAGGTCAGTAAGGACAACCTCAACAGCTTACTGCAGGTTGCTCCTACAATGGTCCCCCCCACCAACAACTCTACAAACATTTTCTCTCTGTCTCCTTACCTGTACTAAAGGTCTCTGAGGAAGGGGTAAATGGGTTCTTTGGGAAATGTAGACATACTCCAGGACATGCTAGTATTCCTCCCTTCTACATGAAAGCCTACACTAGCCAAGTGGCCCCAATTCTTACGTAATTCTTCAACATGTCTCCATCCTCTGGACCCCTTGAAATCACGTTTGTCCTCCCATGTAACCCACCCTCAGATCACCTGACATGCCACAGCACCAGTGGTCTAATTTATAAAGCTTGCATACACAAAAATGGCCTGAAAATTGCATGAGCTGAATTCCATGCAAAGGTTGTGATTTATTTAAAATGGTGCAATCCCACATGCAAACTCAGACCCATCCATTCCCGTATGCATATTTTGGGTACACATATTTAAGCTGCTTCATAACCACAACCAATCTGCCATATTAAACCTTGTAGATAGATTTGTTGTCCCTCCTTTGTTTTTTGTTCACAGTTCACAACCACTCTGGTTCCTGTCGGCTCTTCCCAGCGCGGATTGGTTTTAAACATATTCAACAATTAATTGACTCTCTGCCTGAAGCCTCTTTTAGAAACGAAATAATTCTGTCAATTTATCCATAAAGCTGAGATATAACAGCTCAATGCTGCCTGCTTGTCCTTGTTGTGTGATTAATGAAAGTCTACACCAGACTATAAAGGTGTCATTTATAACACTTCCTTTTATTTACGGTGACCACAAAATTTTATTTTCTGACCTCCCACCTCTAACACAAAAACTTTGATCAAACAGCCCTTTTTACGCTCTCTAGATGCATTGATAACAATTAACGTTGATTACCTAATTAATGTCAATACACATTGGGATATATGTAGTTCTTTGTGTGTATCATTTACAGTTGAAAGTGGGCATGAAGTGGGCCGAACATGAGTTGGAGAGTTGGATGCAAATTGCTTGGCTTTTTGGGTGTTTTATAAATCAGAATTTATTGTTATTTTTTTTTTTGCCATACTCCATATTTGGGTGTTTGGCATACATATACTTTTAGTATGCCCCTGTTTAGTATTTACCCAATGTTTTATAAATGAGATCCCATGTTTCTCCTGTTGATGCTATGGAACACAAAAAGGCTGCAATCCAAGAGCATAACAGCACATATATATATTACTAAATTAGAGATAAAAAGCATCATCAATCAAAAAGTGAAGAAACAATGACTAAAAAAGTAAAATGAAGAAATTAAGATAGCTTTATAAGATAAAGAAGACCACAGGAGAGTAAGACTAAACAGACATGAAGAAATGAGAAGCATACAGAACCTAATTCTACATTTTTTAAATTACAAAGCATAATACAGGAAACTTTGACCAATTTCAGGAGGATGAAAAAAATAGAACTTGTATTGCAATGCCTGAAATTTCAAGGATAGAATTTGAAAATATGTAAGAAATGTTTAGCATATAAAGTGCATTGCACATGGACACCTGGAGCAAAAATAAAGGTTGTTGATCAATATTGAACCACTCCATACCAGATGGTGGCAGTATCGCCCACTACCTTTCTTTTTACAAGCTTAAAAACTACAGGATGAACACAAGAACACAAGCTCAACTCCTTTCTACCCAATATGTATATATATTCAAAATGTAAAAAAAAAATACTTAATTATCATAGTCTGCACCCCTCCAATCCCTCCTCACCCCTTGCTGACCACCTGCAGCTCGCTTGTTGTGTAAAAACACTATGCTTTATGCCCTTTATACACCACCTCAATTAGCCAGGGAACCATGCTGGATCTTATTTGTGGATTTCAGCTCAGCCTTTAATGGCATCAGCCACACATCCTCCACCAGAAGCTCATTCAACTCACAATGCCCGTCTTTGACTTTTTAGGTAGATGCTCCACAGCTCTTTTGCATTCACCATCCACCATGGAGACAGTTCATTTCCCCAGTCTGCCTCTCTGATCAAAACACTGAACACCTTACTGCATGAATAATCAAATACGTTTCTGGTAAACCAAATAAGCATATTTCACTTTCAAAATCTGCATGTTAGCTTATCATGGAAAAGGTGAAGAAATGGGCTGTACATGCACATTTATATAGGCTACATAGTGTTTCAGTTATCTTTTATTTTGTATTAAATATATTTATATGTCTATAT